TCAATAGACAGTCAGACAGTCAGTCAGTCAGTTAGTCTTGAGTCTCTCATCCATGTATATGTATATATGTGTAAATATTCTATTTTGAGACTCGAGTTGCCTTTGGGCCATATTTTTATTAGTTAAGTTGTTTATGTCTTTGCATGACGTTGAGTTATTCTGTTGAGTAGGTTTCCGCTGAGTTAAGAAAGCCAGGCCAAGGGTTCGCCTGGGGCCAGCAATGGTCTCCAGGTGCCGGTCCCGCCCAGGGTGTAGGCTCGGGGCGTGACAGTAAAAAGGGGAGGAGAAGGGAGAGAGAGGGTGATAGAATTAATGGATTAAAGGGAAGATGTCTTAAATTGGGTGTGTTAATACATACGTGGGAAGGGGGAAAGTGGGGGTGGTTATTTAATTGGGATTAAAATTTTTGGGGAAAATCATGACCTTAGACTATTTTTACAATTTTAGAGGTAAACATATTAAAATTTTGGTTGATTTTGGGTCTAAATGAAAAATGAGAGAATAATTTTTAGTGCATGAAACTAGCTTTTCTTTTTATTCCCTTTTTCTTAATTAACTAGTAACTATTAATTAAAATATTTATGTTGCAAAATTAATTAGTATTACAAGAGCTTAAAGAAACCTTAAATACAAATAAAATAAATGAAAAATAATGATGACTATTGATTATTGATTTGACATATATATATTAAAAGTAACGAATTCAACAAATATATTTTTGGGGTTGATAATTGCCACAAATTATACTAAGTTGTGGAGTTTTTTAAACCATTATAATAAAACCACCATAAAAAGACTTAAATTGTGGGATTAGAATAAAATGTCATAAAATTAATTAATAATGGGGTTTCTTAAAACTCTCACAAATTAACCGCCACAAATTGAGTAATTTTTACTTCCGCATTTTCAGTTTTAAATAGGGTGATAAGAATTCCCCTATCTAGGTGTTAAAGTAGATGCCTACATGGCCTGGTGGGTTGGATCATGATAGCTTATTTTAAGTAGCTTTCAATTTTTAAACTCTTTTTGCAAATGGATGTTCTCAACTTATGACTTTTAGCTTATAATCTACTTTAAAAAAAAGTCAATGTGAACACCCCTAAGAAACCACATGCTTTTGTTATTAGAATATTTAAATTTCAGAATTAATTCTTAGTGATTTTTTAGACTTAAATTGGCTAAATTTTGATAGTTCTAACAATTTGTAGGGTTTTCATATTTATAAGAAAAAACTACAATTTAGAAAATTCAAATTACATATTCATACAAAACTTCAACTTCAAATCTGTAACGATCTAAACCGTTGCTACTAAAGAAAATCTTGTGTAGAGTCTCAGAAGTCCGAAAGTGTAGTGCAAGAATTTTTAAAATTTGAGCATACGACGAATTTTTACTTAAAATTTATTTTGTTGACAAGGTTGGTGTACCCCCCCCCCCCCCACCATAGAGGGAGGCTATCCTGCTATGGCAGTTTCGCTATAGCGGGACGTAAATATATGCAACCTAAATAATGCAGCGTCTTTTATTTCCCTCCCACTTTGGAAAGAAGAAAATAGACGATGGCTGCTCCAAAAACTCTTCAAAGGCATCTAATACAAGGGAGTAATGAGGGGGACCGTGCAATAAAGGTGAAAGTCTAAGGATTTTTCAATGCTCGTTCATCAAAGATTATTTTCGTAGAGTCAAATTCATGGGTGAGGTTCATCAATGGTTTGGCGCCCAGGTAGGATAGGTTTCTTTTAATTGAGTAGTTAGACTTGCTTTTATCGCATAATATCTTGTATATATTCGGAGATTACATGTATAGGTCTTCGAGCATAGTGTTTGGATGGTTAGAGATTGTTGATTTGTGATGTTAGGGTGGAGAAAAAGTAATGACTAGAAGGTGGTTCTCTAGTTCTTGAGTTCCTTGTTAGGTGATGGTGTCTGTTTTCGGTTTATGTATGTATGCATGTATACGACTTGTAGTATTATCGCGCAATGCATGGTAAGAAATACATAGAGAGTATATATAGTAACAATATGTTAATGATCTCATGCAATGAACTGGTTATGTGACTTGTGATTTTAAGTGTTATTGTTCATGATGTTTGTGATTGTGAATGATTATTTGTGTTTGATGGTTGGCTTGGTACCACGCATGGTACGTGATATTTTCATGGTTGGCTCGAATATCATGCCTAATATAAATAACGGTTGGCTCGGATACCACACCTAATATAAATTAACGGTTGACTCGGGTACCATGCCTGGTACGAGAATATCCATATACAGTTGGCTCGGGTACCATGCAGGTACACTAACTAAGGATGACTCAGGTACCACGTCGGTACACTAAAAGTTTGAGTTTGAATTCCTTGAGAGGATCAAACATGTGTTTATGGTTCCATGAGTGAACCTGATTTATTTCTTTATATTGTAATTGTTGCATATTGGATCCTAGAGTGGTTTGATGTACTTTAAATACGAGTTAATTAAGGTCTGACTTGTGATTATATGAGACATGGTTCATGTTACTGTGAGTCAGTGTAAGAATTTGAAGTCCGAGTTATGTATTACTTGCGATGGTGGAGGTATATTAAGTGGTTATTGATAACTGAATTCTTACGGGTTATTCTATATAATTGTTTGACTATTGGGTTGAGTTTATGTGGAAACTTAATTCTTAAATTGTCTAAATTATGTTTCTATTAGTCATGATGAACTTGGTTTTGTAATGGATTCTGGATTTAATTTTGCTGAGGATTAGTTGGTCTAAGGTGCCAATTTCATTTACTGTTCCAAAAAGGGCAGGGAGTTGGCATGAGTAGCATAAAAGATAACAGATTAGTTGATAGGACTACTAATGGTATTTGTGGATATTAATGTGATAGAAGAGTTAGACTATGACTGTATTGTGTTGTGATATCACATGTAGACTTGAAAAGTCTTAGGGTGACGTAATTGTGGAACACGGTAATTAAGATGTATAGTAATTGTATTTACTTGGGATGGGTATGAGTATGTGAACAGAGAAGTGGGATTGTATAGCTTCCTTATTGCATGAATTATATGATTAGCTACATTATATTATGTGGTAGGCTCGGATCGATCGATGATATGTACTCGTGAACTCATAGCACATTTGATGCTCAAAACTAAGGATTAATGCAAGAAATCGAGCTTGTTTATGTGGATATGATATTTTCTTTAATGTTGAACAGGTAAAACACTTGGATGCAAAAGGTAGAAAAAAGGAAGGAAAAGTGAACTGAAGTCAACACCACAGAGCCGCAGATAAGCCACGGTCATGTTGACGAGCCGTTTGAGGACTCGTGGAAGGGAGGTAGTGAAGTCCTTCAAGCTGCCTATGTGAAGAAGGAAGACCACGAATCCCCAGACGGGTCGTGGTCCACTTGATTATCCGTGCAACTGCTCGTGGAATGAAGGCAGGAAATCCAATAGCCACCCAAATGAAAGCACAAGTCTCCGAAGCACTAGACGAGCCGTCCAACTTAAGACGATCCGTCTAGTAGCTCGTGAAGATCTCTAGTGAAAAATAGACCCACACTGTCTAAGTGTGGGATCACAGAGGGTTTGACGAGCCGTCTAGTCTTAGACGAGGCATCACCAGAAGTGTTGCGACAATACAGTCCTACTTCGAGTAGGACTTGTTTTCACAAACTATTTTAATTTTTTTAGGGTTTATTTTTTAACATTACCTTTTATTGTTCATTTTTATTCTTTGAGACATTGGGAGCAAAGAGAAACGATGGTTTCCAATTTCAAACACTTTGATTTGTCGATTACTTCGAATCAAAACTTTGTGATCATGATTGAATGTTGATAATCAAGAATCTTTTGGTTTGCTAATATTGTAAGTTCTTATATTATGCTTTCAATAACATCTTCTGCTTGTTTTCTTGAAACAATGAGCGGCTAAACACCACAACTAGGGTTGCGGAAACCATGACTAAAACATAACTACATATTCAAAATACGAGTAACGTTTAGATGTTAATTGCACATGTTTATTCTACTTTCATAATGGTTGCTTTCTAATGAGTGCACGCATTAGAATCCGCTTGCATTTACCACTTGTTCGAGAGAAAAGGGACAATTAGAAAAAAGTTAGAATCATAGATGAATATGTATTATTATCAACGGATAGTTACTTGTACAAGAATCTAGAGTGAATGAAGGTCATGAGGAACGTAATCCTAGTCTCGTTAAATCACTAACTAAAATATTGAAACTACTGTGTACTCTTACTAACTATGAAACTGAATTAAGCATTGGTCACTTAACTCAAACAACCCAATATTTAATTTCAGCAAATTACTTCTTTTGAAAATATTAACCACAATTGAATAAGAGCGTCAATAAGGTTGTTTCTGTAGTAAATTCCCCGTGGGATCGACCTCAACTTCAGTTGAGTTCTATAATTGACTTCGACCGTTTATACTTCTTAATTGAAGTGTAAATTTGCACGTATCATGTACCAATCCATGTGTTTTCTTGATACTATTCATGCTATGCCACTTGACATAGTCTGATTGCAGGGTCAGTAATGGTTCATAGATGAAGACAAAGATGATCTACGATAGCTTTCATTTTTCCTCCCTAATGGTGAGAGTTGTTTTGTATTTTCTTGATATATTGTATTTTTTAGTAGCTTTTGTACCTGTTTAGACGAGTTCCTCATGGGAGAATTTTTTTGATTAATTGTATAAAGCTTTTATTAAAGATTGATGTTTTCATAAAAGTTTTCGATATTAAAACGGTCTCCTTATAAATCATTTATTTTCCTCATGTTTTAACCTATTTGGGGTGGTAAGAGTTCTCCTATCTAGTTGCTAGAGTAAAGTACCGCAAAGTCTGATGTATTAAATCGTGATTAATCATAATATTATATCACTTAAAACTTCAAATTTTATTGCAAGTTTATCATTCAAATTATTAATGTACAACATTAGTGTAGAATGAAGAATAAGATAATTTATTTAAATATTATACTCATTAAAATTGAGAATCCATTTAGTTATGCTCATTAGTGAATAAGCCAGTTGACTGTTAAAACAAGCCAACGCCGGAGATGACGACGACACCGATGATGCCGCCGATGGGGGATGCAAACTTTGACGGCGGAGCACCGGCCTTACCGCCGCAACCCGGGACTGACATGACGGGAATATGCTTCAGGGACCAGTTATGGCTGAATACGTATCCACTGGACCGAAACCTAGTATTTGACTATTTTGCTCTCTCTCCATTCTACGACTGGACTTGCAACAATGAGCAACTACGATCACGATCAATTCATCCACTCGATATTTCTCAGCTCTCGTATGATTTTTTTATCTTTGAATTCCTCTGCATTTGTTCAATTTGATTCCTCTTTTACTTTTATATCATCTTTTTCCCCAAACTAGGGTCCTGTTCACCTAAGCATAGAATTATTGAAGGAAAAAAAAATAGTTTGTTAAATTGCCCCATGAGATTTGCTGAAAGTTTGAATATTGAGCGGTTTCCTGTTATTAGAAAGAGACATTGAAAAAACTAGCTCATGAGGTGTGGATAAACCAATTACACATTGTGGGACAATTTAACTCCAGGGGAATGGTTGAATTTGTGTTTTTCCTATTTGTGGATAAATATGTTTGAAGTAACTAACGGTGTCTATGTGAGGTTCACATAGCCAGATGAGTATATTATAGAAGCTAATGGGCGGATTGCATATAGGGGATTTACATAGCCGGAGTAGTGATTATTTGATATGGTAGAAGCAGGGGCGGCTTAACATAATTTGTGGCCTAAAGCGAAATTTTTATTAGAGGGCCTAAAATCTATATAAATTTTATCTATATCTATTTATTTTTCTAAATTTCTAGACGTAAATTACTACTTAATATCTTTTATATAAATGATTTTTCAAAACATTTTTTTTTAATTATTAGTAGTAAGATTTTATCAATTCAACATTGAAAAACATCATTTTATTGAGACAATTATTATATGAATTATTAACACAATTTTATAAGTAATAAGTTGATAAACTTTAAAGATAAGAGTTAGAATCATAGAATTTGATTCAAAAAGTTGATAACTTGGTATACCTACTTTAATATGAAAATTAACAAATAAATTTTAAAAAAAATTGTAATGCACTTTGTTCAACACTTTTCGACTATTGATTCATATTTTTGAGAGTGTATTACTCTAACTATCAAAGATTTGAAGAAATAGAGTGCAAAAAGAGTTACAAAGGATAAATAATGTGAGTGTTAACAAAGAAAATGTAAGAATCCAAAGCAATGTTTCCTTAATTTCTTCTATTTGAATGGGGTTAAGATACATAATTTTTTATTTATAAAAATTTGAGGCCCCCAATTTTGCCAATGCCTAAAATTTTACAGGCAAGAGCCGGCCCTGGGTAGAAGTAATATTGAGTTTAAAACATTTCTATAGCCTTTTATCTTCCTTTTTACTCTTTCCTTTTGCAATGGGTGGGGGAGGGAAGAGGGGAGAAGGTGTGTTGGATGAGATAACTATGTGTAAATGTTCAAGTTGGTGGAAATAGATTCTCAAGGAGAATTAATAGTTCATTTTTTTATATTATTCTCTATAATTTGTGCAAAGTTTTTATTTTTTCATAAAATACATTTGACACTGTTTTAGGACTTTCTGATAGCTGAGCTAAAGTTTCACTATTTAAATTTCTGGTCTTTGGTAAACATATGCACAGCTAACCATGCGATTCACTTATTATATGCTAATTGCTCTGCAGGAAAATGACAGGCAGTGAATATATGCTGAGTGAAGTTATGGAGCCTCATCTCTTTGTCATCCGTAAGCAAAAGAGGGATGGCCCCGAGAAGGTCACACCGATGCTGACTTATTACATCTTGGATGGTTCAATATACCAAGCACCACAGCTCTGCAATGTGTTTGCAGGTCGACTGGTTAGTATTCTCTTCTTAGTGCACCTTGGTACATGATTTATATTAATAGGTAATATTTTTTCACTGTTTGTATCTGTGTTCTTGTTAATCATCATTATAATGTTCGATTAATAAGAATTTATTTAAGACATATTATATAAGTGCATGTAGTATATCAACCAATAGGGAGGTCCCTTGATCAGTATTTTGTCATCTAGACCCCGAAGCTTACCTGAATAGATAATGGCGGATAGAGATTTTCTTATTTTTTGATAACCAGAAATCTCCAAGGGGCAATGGTTTAAATACAAGGCTTTTGGCTGTAGCAGGAAACAAACTTGTGATTAGGGATGACAATGGGGTGGAGCAGTTGTGGGGCGGGGCGGTTATAGTGTTTGCGGCGCAGTGCGGTACAGCGGCAGAGCTTTTGCGGGGCAGGGCGGATACAAAATATACTTTTTTTAAATCATGCGGGGTGGGTATGTGGGTTGTGAATTTTTCTTTTGAACTTAAATTAAAGGAAAGGGTAAAACCCAAAATACTACAGCAAAACTACATCAAACGTTAATAGAGAATGGTATTGTTCTCTTTTTTGAATGTAGTTTATGCAAAAAGTTGGGGTCTTTTGGTGTTATAGCTACTGTATCAAGGATTTATAGACAGTTGACAGTTCTTATGCAGTTGAATTTTGCACAACTTGATTCAAAATGAAAGTTGAATTTTGCTTGTCCAATTCCAAAAAAAAATTAAGTAAATTTGTTATTGACATTTGAATTTGTTTCTTCATGAAGTTGCATTTGTTAGTTCAACATTAGCAGTAGATTGATAGCTGGTATATTTTTTAATTTAAATAATAATAAATTATGTGGGGTGGGCTTATGCTGGGCAGGGCGAAATCTTTGCGGGTTTATGTGGGTTTTCCCCTCCCCGCCCCATTTGCCATCCCTACTTGTGATGTGTGCCTAACCCACATCACATCATGTGCTCTTACTGCTAGACCAAAGCCATGTGAACATGAAAATCTGTGATTTGGTTGTATATGTATTCCAGCAGAGGTCACTCGATATTTTGTATCTGTACTAATTCAAAGATCTTGTTTTCTTGCATAATGTGATATTAGAGAATTGTCTGTACTTGCTGCTTTTCATGTTGAAAATTGATCTCCTCTCTTAATTCATTTATTTGACAGGGACGTGGTTTATATCATATATCAAAAGCTTTCAGTTTTGCATCTTCAAAGTTGGAAAAGACTGGATATGGTATCTTGACATCCCCTTTTCCCCTTTCTTGTGGTTCTCTTTCTTATTGTGTTTTCTTGGGTATGCTTGGTTGGGATGGGTGATGGGGACTTGTCTAATGAGAACTTGATACCGCAAATATCAAAAATATTAGCTGAAGCAATACTACAATAGTATTGGTGGTTTTGTTTTATTGTCTCTATTGTGTGTTGAAGATAGGTAACTCACTTGAATATCTTCTGGTGAATGTAGAGTTGCTGAATCCCCTTTTCCATTTCCCTTTTGTGGTATTCTACTTGTGTTTGTTCGGTTGATTGTTCAATAATTATTAAATATTTTCTTTTAGAGTTGGACTGTCACAATATGCATCACCCTTTTTTTTTTTCTGTAAGGTGCTAGTATCATGTGTTGTAATTACTCCTATACATAATGTCCATCCAATTTTACACTACTGTAGATCAGTCGCTACTAGTTTGATGCTCTATGATTTTCATGCTATTTGTTAGTTCACATCATCTCCATGACTCTTCCAATTTTGAAGATATCCCCTAGTGTATATTAGCCCACAACATCATATTCCTAACATGATTCAAAATCAGTAAGTTGTTGTTTAACACTAACATGGAGGAGAGAAGCTCCTATAAGCATGGCAACTCTTGTCAAAAGTCGCCCTGTGTAACTTTGGAGGTGTTCTTATATTCTTTGATATGAGGATCTGCAAAAACCTATTCAATTTCTAATTTGATATGAGGATCTGGAAAAATAAGTTTTTAATTGATGTAATTAAAGAAAAAGTTAGGCACATGATGATCAACACCCATTCTTGATTTTGTTTTTTTGGAGATGTTAATATGAGGGCTAAAAATGAACTAGTTGAAATTATGCTCTCTTTAAGAGATGTTTGTCACAACTGGAAACTAAACAAAGTACGTTCTGACCATCCTTCTTGAAGACCCCAAAAAAGAAAATCTGAATGATGGGAAGTAGTGAGATCAAATATGTTGTTAGAAGTGCTTTAGTTCCTTGCAAGGGAATCTCCAAAAAAACAAAAATTATTTAAACTGCATTCCTGATTGTGATACATTTCCATTTAGTATTCTGTCTAAGGAGCTTGAATTGGACATCTCTGTGTATAGTATCTTTCATGGTTATGTTTTGACAAGAATAGTTGAAGTTTGATTTGAATCTCTATCAAGGTGTCAAATCCTAGGTGTAGATTGTTCAGATCAATGATTCACATGCTCTTCTTTACATTTAAGCTATGTTGCTCGGACTCGGGTGTGGATCTAGAGGTCGGATTTGTCATCACATAAACTTTAGGATTCGGGAGAATGGATCCGATTGCAGACACGGGTGTTGGATATGGCTAGAAATATATAAAAATAATATTACAACAATTAGTTATTTAAGAATGGTAAAAATTATCCAAGGGTGTGGCCTAGTGGTCAATGTAGTGGTGGAGAACCATGATGTCTAAGGTACAATTCTGAGTGGAGACAAAAAACACTAGGTGATTCTTCTCATTTGTCCTAACCTTGGTGGACAAAGTTACCTAGTACCGGACTACATGTTACTAGTTGGAGGTGGTAGGTATCTCATAGAATTAGTCGAGGTGCATGAAAGCTAGCCAGAACACCACGGTCATAAAAAACAAATTGGTGAAAATTAACTTATATATGATTAACAAGGTAATTTAAATCCTTATTGTTTATTAAGTATAATGAAAAATGAGTATTGCATAGTTATAAATTGATCTAAATATAGTATTACTTATCTTAGGATTAGGGGATATGGTAGGAGTATGGGTTCAGGTGTTTGGATATAACTAATAAATGCATATTACGACGCATAAAGGTTTATATTTCAACAATTAGTTGAATTTATTAAATTTGAGCTAGTATAGATATACTTCGTTTTAAACACTTGTTGTAGTACTTATGTCTATATATGATATGCCTATACTAGAACTAAATACCCGATTAACATATACTTCTTGCGCATAGGTGTAGTCAAAGCACCCAAGTTAGGTTGACCAAATCGGGTGTGGATCCCACACCCATGTCGTGTCAACACGGGTGCAGCAAGGATTTTGAAGAGTCCAATCAACATAGCATATAAGTATAGTGTTTTTATATTCTGTAACTTCATTCCAATCTGTGTGTGTTCCTTTCCCAGTGGCTTCTGAAAATGAGAGGTCAGCATCTGAATCTAAGGCTGCTAAGGAGACCATTGACTTCAAGGAACTTAAGCGAGTTGATCATATTCTTGCTTCCCTACAACGCAAGGTAACTGTAATTTCTTAGTGTAGTGCATCTGGATGGTGCTTTTGACGTCGGACTGTTAATTCATTATGATGATATTTAATGTTTTATCAAAGGTTAATGTTTCATATTTTTATGCTATGTTGCTCGGACTCTTCAAAAACGTCAACAGGTGTGTGGCGGATCCTCCAAAAGTAGTGCATTTTTGGAGGATCCACTACGGATGCAACAATATTCTTGACGAGTCCTTGCAACATAAAATTGTATAATTTTACGAAGTTTGTGTTCACATTAGAGAAGTATCTGAAAGTGACAATAATCTCTTGCAGCTACCACCAGTACCTCCGCCCCCACCTTTTCCGGAAGGTTATGTGCCACCTTCCACAGCAGAGGCCTCTGAAAACCAGCAAGCAGAAACCCAGTTGCCTCCAGTTGATCCCATTATCGATCAAGGCCCGTCTAAGAGAATGAAAGTATGACAGAACGACTGTCTAAGCACTTGGTGGCTGAAAAAAGTTAACGATTCCTGAGATGGTCCAGAGTGATCCTTTCAGAAGATTTCTGTAAATTATGTAGTGTAAAATCTATGTTAGGTCAGAACTTGCCATGTAGTCAGGTATGATCCATGTCAAGGATACATATCACCTGTATGGCCATATAATGTTGTTACATTAGTTCAGGAAAAATTGGTAAATAGCCATTTCTAATACATGGTATCAATATTAGTTTTCAACATCTTTGTTGCTGTCGTTGTTATTGTAACACCTCGTTTCGAGCTAAGTTTTGATCCGTTCTATGTATGTAGTTAGACTCGAACCCAATGAAAACAATTGTACCTAGATGAAAAGGTCAATACTTAAGTTTGAGAAGTGTGTTGGATGTGAATTAAGGTCATAAGGAACCTTTAACACAAAGTTGAGTTGAAAGGTTCTTTACCGATTAAGTTTTTTTATAAGCTCATATAAGGACCAACTTCAAATAAGCATATCTCCAAGAATATCAAAGAGTTATGTGGCCCATTAGTTATAAAATTAAAGGTCTATGATTCTATTTTTCACACATCAAATCGTTCATCATTTGGACCTTTTTACAAAAAGTTATGATCGATTTATTGTAAACCGTATTCCCAGAATGTCTACCAAACTTTGGACCGCAGAATGTGTTGTCCGCACTAATGGTACTGCATCATGCCTTACTTAATCACCCCTCACAATTATTTCTTTGGTCTACCTCTACATCTCCTAAATTCATCCATAATCAACCTCTTACACCTCCGCACTGAGTCATTCATGCATCTCCTCATCACATTTCCAAACCATGACGTTCTATTTTTGTCAATCATGACATTCATATCCAATCAAATCATATTTTGTTGGCTTGGTTAGAGATGAATTAAGAATTTGAATCTTATGGTCATGACTTTGGAATGCCACTAAACAAACTGATCTTTTGAGTTACTAGATTAAAAGTTATTATTTATGCATATTTAGACGAGACTTGGTAGCTGCATTAAGTATACTATAACTTAAACTTCCTTTTCACAAAAATAAAAAAATGTTCCTTTTGTCTTTATTTTACAAAAAACTGATCTTGTATCCTGTATAATATAAGAAAACCGAGTTTGCTGCTCCAATCATTACCAAACTAATACCTATTTTGTTTAGTACTTCAGATGCTTATATTATGTATAATGTTAATCCCATAGTGAATCAATTCCAACAAGCCTTTCAAACTAGCACTATAGTAGTCATTCTATCATAGACATGGAATTCAATTTGTTGTAGCCATTATATCTTAGACAAAAAATTGCTTTTAGACTTGCAATAAAATGTCTACAAAATGCTGAATACACAATATTGTTGAAGTAAACTTTATAACAAAAAAAAAGGGAAATATATATAGCAACCCTAAAAGAGAAAATGTCTCATGCTGCTTCTTATTTTCCCAAAAACAAAAAAATTCCAGAGCCAATTTGACCCTAGAAAATACATATGCAATCACAAAATACAACAAAATTCAATTATGCAATAATCAATTTTATTAGAGACTAATTAATATCCCTGATCAACAAGGTAATCACCAATTTTCTCAACCACCATGTTGCACTGTCCTGGAGTCACTGGTTCCTCATAGACACCAAAAATCAGTGCCTGGGCAGTCTTCTTAATAGTTATTCCACCAGCACCCTACACCAAGAAAAAACAAAAAATTTACAATCAATAAAAAAATAGATATTAAATTAATTACAAAAACATCGTCGCAAAGGTTCAATCAAATTCATCAGATTTAAATCTTGAATTCTTCGAAGGATACCTTTTTCCCACGGATAACAGCTCCAGGTTCTCCTTGGATGACCATGTATTTTGTCCCGGCAAGGAATAGACCAGTTGGAGCTAGATGTCCAGGTTCATCAAAATCTTTCATGATGTTAGTGATCTCCTCTGCTTTAAACTAGATACACAAAATCACATTACATAAGCAATAATGAAAAAATGTACAAACACAAATAATGAGCAAACCAAAGGGTTGAAATGATATAAAAGCATTAACAATTAATTATATATCAACCTCAAATTCATTGCAATTCGTTATATTAATTGATCTCTATATCCATTTCGCAAAAAAAAAAAAAAAAAAAACTTGAAACAAATTTTGGGATTCCATCACTATCATTTTTATTGTCAAATCAAACAGAGGTAGTATCGATCCATCAATAGATCATGTGATTTTCCTAAGTGAGTGAATTTACAAGGATGTTATAAATCTCTAGTGAACATATTCTCCTAAATGTCCATTGAATTTCATCATGAAATCAAGATCGAATCTTACTTCTTATAGAAAATGTAATGATCAATGACAGATCTAACTAAACACAAAAGATCTAAACCCAAAAATGAGAAAATAAAAAGAGAAATTACATGTTTGACAATGATCATATGTTAGTAATAACACAATATATAGGACTCGTGATCGTGACAAAATATACAAGATTCATACCTTAGGGAAATTGGGACTCTGAGCCCAGACACTACCATCGAACCCGAGGATGGCTGCAGAAGAGAGATGGCGACCAGTACCTTCAATGTCACACATCAAGTGATCATCTACATAGGTTTGCCACGACATGTTTCTTTATTTTTTGATTTTTTTTTAACTGTAAAGTTATGTTGTTGTCTTGTCTCTTTGTTCTTATTTTTTTTTCTTATGATAGTAAGCTTTGTTTTAAATTGATTAAAATTGAAGAGAGAAGTGAGTATAAATAGGAAAAGAGAAAGAATAGTAGCCTTGGATTGGACGTGATTACATGAGTACCATTCACGTTGCTCATAAATTCTCTTGCTTACCATCATTTCTGTTAAATTTGGTCACCACTCACTACTCATGTGCCTCAACTAACATGCATCATTATTCACCACCCACCTCATCACACCCAAAAAAAAAATAAAAAATAAAAATAAAAAAAAATAAAAAAAATAAAAAAATAATAATAAAAAAAATAATAATATATATATATATATATATATATAAGGATGTTCTGGTCAATTTGCATGTATTTTCATCCTTGTATTGTTTGATTAGATATAGAGTATACGATAGTAGATTTTAAATTTACGCCCTTATATTGTTTGATTAGATATATAGCATATGATGGTAGATTTTAAATTTACATCCTGTTTGATTAGATATAGAGTACATGATGATAGATTTTCAATGACATAATACGTAAGTGCAACTTTTAACTTGATCTCGTTTCACATTTATTTTCTTCAACCAGTGGCGGCTCAAGCTAATTAGTGGCCTAAAGCCCAAAATAAGTTGGAGGCCTAAATTTTAATTATTTTTTTATATCTGAGATTCAAGTTATTTCTTTCTTTTTAAGAAAAAATATATATTTTTTTTATGATTTTAAACTAAAGATATATATATACCAAATATTTTTTAATCTTGTGGTCTTAAACATATCATGTGAAAGTTAAATTTAAAAATTGATCCATAAAAAAGAAACATTCTTTAATGTTTCGAAACAAATTAAAACATTATTTATTTATTTTTGTTAAAAAGAGCTTAAGGTAATTTTATTATTACTAAAAAATTAGGCCCTTCGATTTTGGGGCCTAAGGCATATGCCTCATTTTTAAAGGCATTGAGTCACCCCGGCCTTCAACTTCGGGTGTGCACAAGTAGACACTTAAACTTGTATAAAGTTGAACAAATAGACACTTGTGTCCTACGTGACATAATACACATAGGACATCATATAGGACATAAATTTTCATGTAGGATATGCAACGTAAAACATGTATGTCTATTTGTTCAACTTTATATAAGTTTAAGTGTTTTCTTGTATACACCCAAAGTTGGAGGGCATAACTATGAATTAAACCAAGTTAAATGAATATTTGCATCCTTATATTATTTGATTAGATATATAAAGTATACGATGGTAGATTTTAAATTACATTCATATATTGTTTATAAAGTATACGATGATGACAGATTTTAAATTTGTATCCTTATATTGTCTGATTAGATATGAAGTATATGATGATAGATTTTTTAAAATATGAAGATGGTCCAAATATGCTTTTAAAATATTTGGAATAAAGCAAATATTGTTATTTCATTAATAGTATAGTTTACAATATGTCTTAACCTAGGAGTATACAAACAAAATCGCACCAAACTGAATTTTTGGTTGTTGTTCATTTGATTTGATTTAGTATTAGAAAAAAGAAATCAAACTTATGTTGTTGCGATAGGATATGGTTGTTCCAATATTTTTTGTTTACTGCACTGATTTTCTTAATAAAAATTACAACTATTAGAAATAAAATATAATTTCCTCATATTAGAAAATCAATACTAGCTATAAATAAGGGTTGTTGGAATAACTATTATCATATGGCAATAACAGAAGTTGAATTTTAATTTGAACAATATTTGAGTGATGAAATTATATCCATCAGGGATGAATAATAAAGATTTTGAATTTTAACTTTTTAGTGGGTTAGATATAGGTGGACGGGTTAAAATGGGTTAGAAGATTAAATTGAAAAAAATTATTTGTACCACATATAAGTGCTACATAGAAAAATTAAGGAGAGACATGAGGATTAAATGCAGTAAGGGAATATATATATATATATATATATATATATATATATATATATATATATATACCTTAAAGTTTGATATAAAGGACAAATACATTCAAGATATGAGCATTTAACGTTGTAGAGTAAATATAATTTTTTTTAGAAAAAAAGTGTAAATATGACCTTGAAATTGAATGAAAAAAGAAAAATATGTTGAGAAGTATAACAAATGACAATTATAACTTATTTATGAAAGTAAATGGATAAATATGACTTTTTTTCAATTAAACAATTTTTGTATACTCCCGTCTTTAATTATTCCCTAATTGATTCTACAATAAACTTTTTGACATGCTAATTATTTGAGTTTGTCTATAAAAATACAATTTTTATGTATTTATAAATGTGAAAAAAAATAATTGCAGATTGCGTCAGAGGTTAAATAACACAAGCCGTGAAAATTTGCAAAACAAAGATAAAAATCTTTTGG